CTTGTTGGTAGAGTCGTCAGGTCGCGTGGGGATAAAAAAAATAAGAATTTTCAAAATATCGATAAAAATTTGATTACCCTTATCAACGTCGCTATTAACGATCTTCCTTGTTGCATGAGAATAACCAAGACTAACCAGTCACAGGTACTATTTTGGTCCAAGTAGGTGGTCCAGGGATGCTGCGTTCTACAGCTTCTGGCGGAATAGGAATTAGGCGAAGATCGATCAGCCGATTTCACAAGGGCGAAGACGAGCAATGAGATAACTGCCGGCAGCAGGACCGCCAGCCACTGGGAGCGCCATCACCTTCTTCCTTCCTCCCTGTCTTCTCTCCCTCTCTCTCTCTCTCTCTCTCTCTCTCTCTCTCTCTCTCTCTCTCTCTCTCTCTCTCTCCCTTTCCTTCGGTTCCCTCGCCTTCACCATCTCCTCGCCCTTCGACCGACCCGGCCTTCCCTTCCTTCGCAGAGCCAGAAAGTAATCAATACTTTGGGAAGGTGCGTGGGCGAAGCACACGGCGGCCTGCAGGCAGCCGACTCGATCGCGAATATCATGGAAAAGCGCCGTCAAGGAAGACGCCAGCCTAAACCGGCGCAGCCATCCCGGGCCACTTCCGGTCTCCGTCAGTTCATCTCAGGACCCACCATTATTTTCCCATCTCGACTCTGTCCTTTGTTCTCTTTCACTTTTTTCTTCCTTTTCATCTCTCCTTCGTTCTCCTATAGGACTCCGTCGCTCTCTATGACTCGTATAGATATACGGTCGTTACATGGAAATAATATTTTTTTTATTCCTCGGAACGAATCAAATTTAGCAAAGACGAATAATCTTGATTGCGCGAGCGAATAAGAGTAAATTATCTCACTTGGTTATTAATCGGTTCAATTAAATCTTTGAAGATCGACGCGCGATTTCTCCAGGGGCTCAATGAGAGGCGAAACGTGAGTGCGAATTCTCAAGCAGCGACGTAACTGGGATACGTGTCACGCGTGGTGTACACGTGCGTTAGCCTTTATTCCCGCGTTCGATTTCGTCGCTCCGATGGGAATTAATTAAAGGCACTCGTCGACGCCTGCGACTTATTTAGCGAAACGCCTGCCCACCGATGTCGCTACATGCGTATGCGCACCTCGCGCGCACACGTCGGTCTCCGGGTAATCGCGATCCTGGCTAAACGCGTCGCGGCGAAGGACAATGCGCTGCGTCGACTCTGGATTATAAAATTTAATTAAAATTTTCCTTCGACACTCCCCTTCATTTTTTACCCTTTTACTTTCCTTTTTTTTCCTGTATCGCTACGTTTTTTCTTTTTTTCTCTCTATAACCCATATCCGTGGAATACGGCTTCGATATTTCATTCCACAGCCGTAACTGAACGGAAACACCCTTAGGGGGTAGCTGGACGTCACGTGACTGAAATTATGAAGTTTACGAAATTTTTTTTATTTTTTTTTTAAAAGTAAATTTAACTTTTTTTTTTCTCTATTTGCAATGACTTTAACTGTTATCAGTGGGGAAATCCATATCAATGCTTTTTGGGCTGCTGCTTCCTGGGCTCAAGATTACAGTTCAGGATACGAATGATTTTTTGTAGGTTATGTTGGTCTAGACTACAGGAAAGTTTTGAGTTCGTAGAAAGTTGATAACAGGAAGAAGAAGAAGCAATTTATTACGAACTAGTGGCCCTGAGAATATTAAAATTTATAATATAGTAGTATAGTACAAGGATAGAGGGGAAGAAAGTATAGAAAGTATAGTGCATATAAAAGAGCAAAAGACTATGCAAGTGAGACTTTCGGTAATATTTAAAAAATAAATCATCAGGGTGCAAGAGGGTGACAGCCCCCGATCAAACATATTACATGCTTTTTTACGTAATCCCGCGTGAGTTCCCTAGCGAGTGCCATTAGCCGCCACCTACGTACATAAAAGGTACAAAGCCAATAATAGCAGTAAAAAAAATTGCACATTGAAAATTTTCCATAAATGCAAAGAAAAATTGTATAATTGTAATAAAGAGTAATTCCTCGAACCAAGCAAAAAAATCAATTATTTTAAAATCCAATTTGTAAAAATCGATCAGCGAATGTAACCAAAAAAAAAATGGTTACAAGAAAAAATCCGGGCACCCGGTCCACAAAAATTGTGTATATTGTATTTTGCACAGTTTTCAAAACGGGGAACAAAAACGCGAATGAGCTCGGGTCCAGTTCGAATGACAGCTGACCCTCGAGAATTCCGACGCTATCGCGACGCCTGATTCTGCAGTTTTACGAGGCTGCGACAACTTTTAGCGCGCTGATGGAAACGCGCATTGCGCATTGCCCGTGGGACGGTATTCATCGTCATCGTGATCATCATTACTGTTAGCATGGTCATCAGGGAAAAATGAAAAATGCTCGGGAATACGACACTGCCGCGGATCGACTTCTCTCTTTCTGTATTTCTCGTGTGAACCAGCCCTGAGGTTGCTTGACTGACTTGCTGTTTGACTGGCCAATGACTTTATGGACGATGACGATCGATCCGATCGTCCAATTTATTTCATTCAAATTATTCTCCCACGAGTTGATCTGCACGTCTGTATTATTAGTTCCAAGTGGTCCAGCGCACTGAGGGTGTGCGCAAGTCATTTCATCTGACACGTGGATTGCTTACGGGTGTCGATTGAATTATCACAAGCAAAAGGACTTTTCTTTTAATTAATTAAATTTTAATATTACCTGCATTCACGCAGCTAGATTTAATGCCCCTTTAGTCGGTCGAACCGAGCCAACTTCAGACCGATGCGATTTGGCGGGTTAGTTGCTGACATCGTTTCATCCCTGTCGGAATCGCAGTTGTCTATTGTGAACCTCTCAATTTTTATGTCATTCTAATCATCAACCAATTTGACAGTTGTTGTTTTTGTTATTATTTGCTGGGCGATCGTCCTGAAATTCTCTCCTTTCGGCTGGATCCAGAAATTAAAACTGCCAGTTTGAATGCAGCTAATAAGAAAAATAAGGCGCGTCACAGGGGATAAAAGAGCATTCCAGAGTTCGGGCGCTGTCAGCCTTCGCCTGCGGCTCCTGCAGCCAACTTCAGCCAACTTCAGCCCAGGCTGAAACCATCCCGTTTCATCCCTTGTCGCGCGCTATACTATTACTCTTGTCTTTGGAGTATGTCGGTAATACAGAGACTAACGGTGACTTGATACGCGTATGCCGATTTAATTGCAACTTTGGTCGGAGATAGTAAAATAAAGAATAAAAAATAATGTTGTAATATTGTTATTATTTTTAATTAGGGGAGGGGGGTTCAAGAGATGCCGAGGAAGGTATAGGTGGCTATAGCTGTTCAACTGGTATCAGCGTATGCTAATAAAACGTGTATCGGGCTGGTTTGCTGGTTTGCAAATGGCGTCCTGTCCTCACGGTCGGGCGCCATTTTTACGCGTAGCGCGCGTGTCGCGCAAAAATCGCGAATCGTTCGTTACGAATAGAAATAATTTGTTGGTTCTTTCTCGCGACAGGATCGTCGCCCGGCGCTTCAGAAGAAAAATCCGGTATGAATTGGAAAAGGCGTTGGGAAAGTAGGAAAAAATCGCTCTTTACCTATTTTGTAGAAGTTAGCTAATTTTCTTTTCAAATTTTTTTCCCAAAAATTCCTTGCACTCGTTTAACCTGAGAGAATCGAAAAAAAATTTGTTCGCGAGGCTCGATCGGATCGTAATGAAAAAAAAATTTTGTCCGATTCTGCCTTCTCGAAAAATTCTCACAAGCCTCGTTTTCACGAGCAGCAGCAAAATTACGTAGTGGGTCTTAGGTCGCTCGGACGGACAATGTATTATGCATCAGCGTCGATGCATATCCTAGGTTGTTTTTCCCCGATCGAGATTCTTTCCAGAGCCAACTAATAGGACGAAACGTCGAAGGCGCCTCTGGATTAGCATAAGGTAGGAGCTTGGAAAAGAAAAGAACGAGTAAACAGAACTGAAGTCAATTTCGTTATAATGAAAAGTAAGAATATGAGGTAAAGGGAAAAAATATATATATATTTTTTTTCATCAAATCAAAAATGAAAAATGCAAAGATTTTTAATGTTTAGAGAAAAAATATTAGTGAAGCAGCTCGAATCGGCGGCATTAAAAAGGAAGAAGACGAATAAAATGAAAAAAGTAAGAAGCAGCTAGGAGAACGGGCATACGATACCAAGGAAGAGTCTGCAATGTATTGGAGCCTGACCCTTATTCTTAGAAACGAGAGATCGAAGGATAACCGAAACGTTCTGGGATTTTGGGCCTCATTGGTCTCACTGTCCTTTTACAGTAGCTATGGAAATCCATATACGTAACGTATGGAACGGAGATAAAAATTTGGCGCCAAAGAATTCGCGGCTAACGAAAGAATTTCAAAGAGGATTTTGTGGGCGTTTTCACGATGCGACAGAGAGTCGTTTGTGCTTTTTGAAAAACAGGCACACCCGCGCGCCAACGGAAAGTAACAATAATGGTACGAAGCGAGCCAAGTGGAGTGAATGGAGATTTCCTGGAACCCCAACAGACCCGCGTACATTGTAGCCAGGATCAGGCTCCGCTTTCCAAGAAAGGCCAGCAACATGAGAACGAACCGTTTTATTCTTGGAATCTAAATGGAAGCCAAGAAAGAGTGACCCTGTGGCCCAAGTGCAAATTCAGGATAACGAAACATTAGAAAAGCATTCACCTGTCATTTTCTCTTTGGCTGATCTTCGAGGCATTCTGTCGATCCGCAGTCGGAGAATAGAGAACTAGTCGTTCCTTGTGAATGTTTCAAAGAGGTTTAAAGATCGTTCTCACGAGTGCGACGATTCGTCGCTAGAAGAATTTTCGTGCCTTTTATATTACATGGGTTTTCCACGAAGGGCGGCGCCGGCAGATTCCGACTTTACCGACGGCGAACGTTACCGCGTAGCTTCTCGAAGCTACCGAAAGATAGAGCCACGCAACGCACGCACAAACGTCTGGACGCATTTCATAACGGCTACGTAATTCAAGCGAATGTCTCTCTTCGTACGGACAGTCAAGAGACCCACGGCGGCTTCGTGTCACCTCTAGTCGTCGGTAAGGAAAGCGATTCGAAGGAATTATGGAAAGTTTCGTCGATTCACAATCCCAGTTTTCGAGCCACGAAGTCTCCCGAACGCCGTGTCACTCTCGCCGCGTCGAAAGAGAAGGACGAATTTCTCTCGGGAAACTCATCAGTCGGCTGTCGGACAATTCGAGTCTCGTGAACCTAGTGAAATCGGGGCACCGATGCTTCTGGCAAGCACGACGTAACTTCGAGATCATTTCCCAATCTGATAAATTCATGGCAGTTTCGAGGTTTTACGCGGCCGTTCGGGCGTTTCTCGATCGCGGAAACCTTCGAGAAATCACGGACGACGCGCAGCGCCACTACGCACGGCACATCGCAGAGACGAGTTCCACGAGGAATGATAATGGATCGAAAAAAAAAAGAAGGAACGCGCAATAGTGCTTGGCTCTTGGTTCCGCCGTTCCGCTGTTTTAACGTAGTTCAGCCACGAACGATGACAAAACTGTCAAACGAACAAAGTACGGTAAGTCGTGTCATTGCACAAAGTCTATTTGTATTAATAAAATCCAGAGAGTTTCAAAAACTCACCGAGTACTTGCACACACCTATACACCGTAGTCACGAATTAAAATTTGCTCGTTTCTCCTTTTCAATGTAATATTCATTAATTGCCGAAGCAACGAAGACTCGCTCGATACGCCAAGAACGACGTTTATGGCTGAGCCATATCGATCGGTAGAAAAGGACGTGGAATCGATCGGTCGATCAAGAGTCGATCGATCTCCCAAACAAGTCAGTGTTGTTTTTATTCTACGGGTAGATCATCTCGACGTTTTAGATTTTCGGTTAGAGACTAATATAGATTTTTCCTAGTGTTCGTGCGGCGTGAAAACTCTGTTTGGCAGATAGTCCGATAGCCTTAACCAGTAAGTCAGTCAGTCGGCACCTTCTGCTTCTCTCCTGCTGCTCTCCCCCCGAGTACGCCGACTCCCCTCCCGCGAAGGGGCGGGGAGGGGGCGCCGGCGGGGAAGGATGTTTTTAGAAAAGTTTGTAGATTTGTAAAAGAAGCGCGTGCGACGCGTGGAAGGTTCTAGCCGCACTGGCATCGATGCTAGTCAACGAGATAGTAGAGACGGTAGAGACAGAGTCGCGGCAGTCATGGGGCCCCCACGGACACACTGCCGATTTCCTTGGGCTTTGCTGGGCGCTTACGAAATGGCGGCCATTTAAGAATTTTACGACGGACGCGCCATACTCGGAATTACATTCCAAAACCCTTCGATATCCACCGAGATACGGAGAGTTCTTTTGATAGAATCACTAGGATACTTTTTTTTTTCAAATTCCAAAGAACAACGAAACTCGTACAAATTTGTAGTTCCAGTAACGTAGAAGCCCACGGGCAAAATTAAAACAGCAGAACGATCGACGATGTAACGTCTGAAACGTCCAAATCTGAAGTACATAGAAATTAGTCGCAGATCTCAAGGTGATTGGCCGAGCGCTATTGAAACGAATCGGAAGGCGGGAAATTTGAAATTCCTTTATGCCACCAATTCAAAGATATCCCTGACACCGTGACGTCGTTCGCGTGCTGGGATCTTTATGAATGAGGTAAAACCGGAGTCTTCTCGCATTGAAGTCACAGGACGCCCCTTTTCTCTCGCTTCCTTTATTTTCACTTTTCCGCCTGAGCGCAGACACGAATATAGTCTATTTTTCGACGTTATTAATAACAGCGTCCCGTCCCTAAATATATTTATAGGAGCGGACCCTATTTTCGGGCATCCTTCCCTACGGCCACACATTCTCTCAGAGGGAGAACGAGAAAGCAAAAGCGTGAGAGACAATCATATCTACACTCTATAAGAGCCGTCACCTTCGGATGAGTCATGCCTACTTACGCTCGGTTCACGGGGGGTCATTGCATTAAAGTATCAACCGTGTACCCGCGGTTCTTTAAAATTTTTCTTTTTTCAGAAAAAACAAAATATGACAAAGAGAAAATGAGAGAAGCATCCAAAGACTGTGCGAAACGACCTACCAGCGAAACTACCAGCGAAACCAGTGGTTAAAGATGACGCTGGATTGCAGTAGGGATGCTGCTGGAGATCCCTAAGAAAAAATATATTAATCATGAGATGCATCAGGGGCGGCTTTTGGTTGAGTCACCACGAGGCTTGGGGTGCGGGGGGGGGGGAATTTAATGATGGCAGCTCCATTGCGCTGCTCGTGTCAACGTTCTTAAATAGACTCGAAAAATATACAGGAGTAAGAGAAGATGTGTCTAGGGAAGATATCCCGGTTGAGGAAGACAGCATCTTAGTCAAGGTACGCCATTTTTTTTTTTTTAATACGGAACCAAGTTGGTAATCATGCGATTGTCTCGTGGGAGAATATTAATTTTTCTTCTATCAGCTTTGGGTACGTCCCGCGCTGATCTAGTCTTGGACTCGGTACCATGACGAGACCTGACGCCGACCTCGGACATGATAACACGAAACGGCGCCACGTGTGACAACGGCAGAGCCCAGGGCCGTCTCCATGGATATTTTTTTCGGGCGCAGTTCAACGACTAACGGAGAAGCAGGGGTACGAAGGAGACACGCGTGGGTGCGGGTACTCGTGTCGATGGGAAACAGCGAGGAAAGTCTTCGAAGATCATTGACCATAATTTGCGGAGGGCTGATCATGCTGATTTTTCCAGCCTGCAGAACGTCAACACATTTTTTTGGGGTACGGGTAAGAATTTTTGTTCGTTTTGCTTCGAACCGGAAGTCGAGTTCAGATTGAACTGTCGGGCTGAGCAAACGAAGCGTGGGAGTCCTGTAAAGAGCCTGGGAAAGCGAGGCTGGTTTCGGGAGTGTTTACATGTGCGCCAATGGCGTAGAGTGCTCATGGCCAATCGGTGAGACTCGTGCGATTAATGCTTTTTGACAGTTGATGCAATACCGGAAGTTAAAATATGTCAATTTGATGACAAGGCATGACTGTTCGTAATAATCTCGAAAATGGTCAAAGTGATTGACGACTCTTGCGCTCTGTATAAGATTTGCGAGTCAGCAACCCTTTTGTCGCGATGAAATATTGTTTGGATGTGCAAAAGTCGACGCGAATTTTCGCTACTTTGGAAATGATTATTTTGTCCGTACTGCCGAAAAACGGAAGTCGTGGTAGAAGTGCGTAAAGGGCGAAGCGTACCTTGCGAGGAAGCGAGTAAATTCCAATGTGATTAAAAAAAAAAAAAAAAAAAAAAATAATAATCGGATTTTCAATTCGCAGAAGTCTCCAGAGAAATTTCACGTTCTAGGGAAACTGGATCGATGCAGGAGACGTCACGAGGTGTCTTTTTTTACTTTCGGCGAAAGTTCAAGGCCCGTCCACTTCACCTTCACAATCGACGTCGTCGCCCCTTTATGACTTTCTAAGGAATTTCTCAAGGATTACGAGAAAAAATGGAAAATTTCGTCATTTCGGATTCAATTTAAAATCCAATATTTACAGTTTACACGAACACAGTATACCGTGTGGGGATGCGTAACCGTGTAAGATTAAAATCACGGCGCCCGATCATCTCTGCAACGACTTCCAGCCGACTCTGCCGACTCCCCGATAATTTTTCATCAAACTTTCACGAATTTCTACCGTGAAATCAGCCGATCCGAACGACGCAGCCTCTGCTTTACATACGTCAGCAAATTGCCAGCTCTCAGTCGAACAAGAACGGAGTATACGAAAATATGAAAAAACAAGAAGGAAGAAAAACATTTCGTACACGATACGCATAACACGTAAAGTAGATACAGGTACCGGAAGTACGGGTGGGACAGTCGGAGCAATAACTTCACAGTCCGATTCGAACATGAACGGCCAGCGAGTAACCTTGATTATACATAAAATTTTGCCAAATGAAAAAAAAAAAATCGAAATACTCCGCTTTCAACGATATATACCAAAAACACTAAAATACTATTAAAAAAAAATACAACAGTGGCATTTTTTCTTGCCGCATTTTTCATCCAAGAAATCCGACAGACATAATGAATTATTTCCAAACAAAAGGTGAAACCAATCGATTCCGGAATATCTCGAATCGTAACAATAGCCTTAGAATTCCTTTCTCGTTAAAATTAATCCCCGTGAAAGATCCACGAAGATTAACCCCTCCGAGCCGTTATCATTTTAGTAGTAACAATTTTACATTTTCATGGGTATTTAACCCCCAAAGAAATCGTGTCGAAGGGTTAAAACCGAAATACGTCCTGATTTTATTGTCTCTGCGCGACCTTGATCGATTTGGCACTCTGGCGGGCTCGAGCGGTACTACTGTATATACGAGCGCAAAGAACCCTTTTCTCCATATCCGAAGCCCAAATTCTATTTACGGATCGAGAAGGCACGCTGACAATTTGGACGTACTCGCAGAGTTACGATATCAGCCAGCGAGTAAGCTGGAGGTACAAATGAGTTGGTGAGTAAAAACGAGCAAATCGCGGAACGACACGAGAGCGCGAGGGGATGGAAGAAGGCGGGAACGACGTGTGGATTCCTGGAGATAAGACACACGTTTCCAATAGCGTCGCGCGAACAGCCGATATCTTGGACAGTCGACGTAGCCAATTTGAAAATTTTATATGGAAGACGCAATAAAATTTGTCACGATGGAAAAATAAATATTCTCAAACGTTATTAACGCGAGGACAAACAATTTTTTTTCTTCTTTTTTTTTTTCAATACTCGGTTTTGTATTATTGTTGTTTTACCTTGGACCCTCGCCATTCTTATCCTCGATATCCAGTCGCTCCATCTCCTTCTGCAGCATGCCACCTTCACCAAATTTATCCAACGACATGATTCCAAATCTTCTTATATATAGGTACTATGTATATATAGTGAAAACACTGCTCTCAATATAATATATATATATATGTATATATATATAATATATATCTGGTACGGCTTCCACCTAGTCTCACTCGGGGCTTCACTGTACTATATATATATATATATCTCTCTCTTTCTCACTATAAAATCCCAACCTTTCAAAGTCCTTTCGGATAAACCAATTTCTGAGGTAGAGTTTACAACACTGGCGCGCACAGTACACTCGACGACGACGACGAATCACCGGCAGGGAAACAAACACAACGGACGAAAGAAAAGTGTTGAGAAACGAAACGTAGAAACGGAAAGAGAATGACAGACGCCACGATCTGACGTGCGTAGTTTTAGGAGACAGGCCCGTTGCAAGAATTATTTGGACTTCCTAGTCCGAATCCTTGATCTTCCTTCCTGGATGGCGTCCCTCCCCACCTTCTTCCCACCCTGTGTCAGTGGCACCCCGAGTCTTCCTGGGGCGCGCCTTCTCCCTCTCCTCCTCCACCTCCTCCTCCGCCGCCACCTCCTCCTCCTGAGCAAGCTCACACAGGACTCCCTAGGATCCTCCCTTGGCCTCCCTTGGCCACCCTCGCCGGGCAATTCAGCCGGTCCAGACCAGACACACTTGCGCTTTCCTCGAGAAATTAAAGGGGGTACATAGTTCACAGAGTTAAGTAACAGCACGCACGCACGGGCACACGCGCATGCGGGATGTATATATATATATATAGGCTCGCGCACGACAAACGAGGAACGTGCGTGCGCACTCACGCACACTCAGGAGTGACAGGAGAACACGCGCGCACCAACACAAAAGACACTTGGCCGGTGACTCCTCGGCCGAGCGACACTCGACTGGGACTCTGAAAAATCCAAGGGCAGCTCCGGAGCGCCTTTGATTTTAAATCCTCACACGTGATCAGCACCACTTTTACGTTTAATATAATATTAAAGAACGCGCGCGCACTCCCTGTACCTAATTCCGGTAGCACCCGGTGCACCCTAACTTTTTCTTTTTTTTCCCTGAGTTATTGGTAGTGCTGGCTGGCCGTGTTGCGGACACGTCGACGTTAGGCCGCGCGTATTTTCCCGGTGCTACTGGCTGGCTGGCTGGCTGGCTGGCTGGCTGGCTGGTTGGCTGGCTGGCTGGCTGGTTGGCTGGCTGGCTGGTTGGCTGGTTGGCTGGTTGGCTGGTTGGCTGCTCACGACGACGTTGCTCCCGATTCCTACCCGACAGACAGGGACTCTGTGTGTGCTGTAGTCTTCCGTGGCGTCTCACGATCCAGACGGGACTCCTGGTACCTTCGCCTAGTGCCACCTCCAGCGGCTTCACGCGTCTTTTTCTTTTCACTGGGCCGCACAGCCACGCACACTTTTCTCTCGTAATTTCGCCTTCCTTCTACGTTCTACGTTCGCTCGCGGAGTGTCCTCACTGCCGAAACTTCCAAGCCCGCGTCGATTGAGGATCTTCTCGTATCGCCTTGGTATATTTTGACCAGGCTGAAGAACAGTCCTGCCTGCTGGTGTTGCTGGTGTTGCTGCTGCTGCTGCTGCCAGTAGTAGCGACGTTAATGCCGCGGAACACGATCCGTGACACTCGTGCTGCTGATGGTACTTCTGGTGGTGGTCGTGACACGATGGTGGTGGTTATAGTTCTGGCAATAGTGGTGGTGGTGGTGGTGGTGGTAGTCGTGTCGTGTGTTTGTTGGCAATTGTGGCGGTGATTGTCTTCTTGCGACAAAGATGGTATTCCTGGTTAGTGTTGACGTTGGTGGTGGTGGTGGTGGTGGTGGTGGTGGTGGTTGCTGTTGTTGGGGTGGTCTGAATTTTTCAAATACCGTAATCCAAAAGAAGGTTCGACGTGAGATTCGCGTCGCCGGTCGGTGCTGGATGTCCCGTTGCTGGTCGCACGGTCGTCGGTCGTTGCGGCGTCGGCGTCGGCGTCGACTCGCGATGCCCGGTTAACGCGGTCGACCGTGGTTGCGACAAGTCCGGAAATTATATATATGTATATATATATATACGTAGGCGCGCGCGAGATCGTATATATATGTATACGTATAGAACCGTGCAGCGGACGTATATGCAGGCGATGAAGGAAAAATTTGGATTCCGAAAAATGGTTTTGGTGATGAATGAGTCGCGGCACACTGTGTGAAAACAGCAGCGTGCGTAGCAGTATACAGGATATCTAGCAAGAAAGCGCGGTACACTGATATTATTTTTATAATCGTGTGCGCGGCAGAGGCCAGCAGGGAATCGTAGGCCGCGCCCAGTTTACCCCCGACTCGCCCCCGTTGCCAATCTCCCCCACCGGCACTCGGCCCCCACCGCGCCCTCGCGGGGCCACCGCCCCTCACCGCCGCCCCACCGGAAAATGCGTACGTCATCGGAGACCAGCCGCGGAGCCATCTTTCGGATGCCGGTACGCACTAAACACCTCCCAAAACTGGCCACCCCTCCCTAGATTCACTACCCCCACCACTCGGCACGGTTACCACCACTTTCCCTGAAATCACCTCCTCAGGCCGGCATCTTTGATCACCCCCCTCCAACCCCTCCCCAACTCGCTTGTACGGCGTACCCGAATTCCCTCTCCCTCTCGACGTCCCCTTCGGTGCTCGCACGAATCCCCACCAGAGGGGCACCGTTCTCCCTCCCTCTCGGTGCCATGGGCCACGGGGGAGGGATGAGCGAGGGGCGACCGAGAGAGACGGAGACAGTGAGAGTAGGAGTACGGCGTAGCACGTTGCCGCCAAAACTGGCTGCGACAACGCCCCGTCTTCGTCAATGACCGGGCCTGGGGGAAGCCCCCCTACTTTATCTCAACCGCCCCTTCTTGGCTGATTTTGAGAACTCGCAATCTAGAGGGCCACAGGGGGTCGCCGGGGGGGGGGGAGCGGCTCACGTTGTGCCATCTCAAAGAAGAAGCGCGAAAAAATGGATGGTGGCTATCGGAAGCCACGCGGCCGGGACGCTGTTCCACACCGGAAGTGACATTTTGATGATTTTCAATTGGATCATGATATTACTTTGAGATTTAGTAAATTTATTTTATTTTTTTCATGAGGACGATTACTGTTTTTTTTTCCTGTTCCAATCCATTTCTTTATTTTTACGAAGAAAATAATTCAAAGTTCGCCGGTAAAGAGAGGCGCTGATTGGTCGTGACTAAAAATCGATGGCTGCGATTCATCGATAAAATCGAGGAAACGAATGAGAATATGAGAATTTTTATTCTGGGGACGCTGCTCGGCTGTCTGCTGCTTCTCACGGAAAGTTGCGGCGGAGCGAAAAGAAGAAAAAATGTAAAATGTGAACATTTAAAAGTCTCGTATTGGTGAATCCAGAATTCGAATCCTGAGCTTCTCGGGTCTTAATGTAAAACTGTAGCAAGTCCTCTCCTCCGGCAGAAGAGGGTCTTTGAGCGTTCGAAGAAGAGGACGTAAATCAATGTTTTTTCCCCTTTGTAAACCTTCGAATGTGCGGTGGTAGACGTCCGCACTCGACTCTACATCACCGCGACGCAGTTATCCCGGAGGTTTCGAAGGGCCCAGGATTTTCTTCCGAGAATCGTATCCCTGGGTCAAAAGTAGTGACGCCCTTTCGGCACCTTGGACCCCGAAGCCTCCAGGTTCTTCCCAGAAGGCAAACAAGATAAAAACGGATACAAGATGACCCGACGATAAGCATCGCTGAGAAGAAAAAAACCAACTGCTTGGACGAAGCCAAGAAATAATATAATTATTTTCAGTAAATTTTATTTCTATCGATCATAGTCAAATTTACTTTAAAAAAAACGTTCCTGACCTGCAATCTCGACTCCCCCAATAACAAAAAACATCATTGATCAGGCAGATAATTCAGCATTAGTCACTCGATAGATGTAGAGCTAACGGGGAAAAATAATTTTAAAAAATCTAGACTCCTTTTTCATTCTTCTCCCTTCTTTCTCTTTCGTTCCCTCTCGTAGATCCAAAAGGTCCTCGGAAGGTCTGCTGAACCGGTAGGCAACCCAAATGCGGAACCTAACGATAATTTCCACAGGTACGATTCTCGATTCTCCATAGGAAGGAAGGAGGACGACCCTGTACTGGTCGCTCCCTTCTTTAGGTCCCACAAGCCCAGGACTTCGTGACAAGGACACGAGGGAACGAGAGGAAGATTTAGGAGAAGAGAAAAGAGAGGAAGAGAAGACGCAAAGCGAAATCCAAAGGAAATTACTTGAATAGAGAAATCGTAGGCAAAGTCAGTAGGGATTTGATACCGTTAGGTTGGTCCTCTTTGTTCGTCCAGGTAGTAAAGTGGATGGAACAAAAAAAAGGATTCGCTCCTTGTGGAAGAATCCTTGAGGTACCCAGGATGGTAGGTACAGAGGGTCGTCCATTATCTTTCGAGGAGGTTGAGGGTGGTTGTATCCTTGGACTAGATCTGTCTTAAGGGTTCGTTAGGAACCTGGGGGTTCGGTAAGGATCGCCAGGTGTTTAGCCAACGAGATCCTTGGCTAGTTTCCTGGGAATCCTGAGGATCCACTGACATGTGCAATTTCATTGGCAACCAGCATCGAGAAAGTCGACAAGCAAATTCAAAATGAAATTTAATCGCAAGTTTGAAGTTCCATTTTGGAGAAAAAGTTTTTTTTTATTACTTCAAAAATAGAAATTTTTTTCAAAACTTTTCAAGGACCGACGTCTCGTCTGTTGGACGACCTCAGCGGTTTAATTGTTCATCGACAAGGAGAAACTGTCGTATCTCTATACACTGTCAGTCGTATGACGTATGACAGGATGGAGGATTGGTTCAAGTAGGCGAACAATAGAGACACCTTTGAAAAAGGATCCGGGAACATTAATGGTCGGGCGGCTCTTGTGTTTCAGGTTTGCTGCAAGCTGTACGGCTCAAACGTATTAATAACTCTTTTTCTCCGAGAAGCCATTGCGCCCCGAGCAAAAAGTCTCAAGCAAACTGGGTTATAACCAATTGGTTGCGGCGCTTGAGTTCAGCTGTTGAATTTAGCGAGAGGACAATTTCTTTGGGACGATCAAGTAAATTTATCAATTTCAAAAATCCTCGCTCTCATACATTTCGATGGACTCCTTTCATAAATATTACTGACACCTATTTACTTCTAACCTAACCTAATTCTGATTCATTGACGAACTTCGCATGATCCTTGCGAATGCGACAATTACGCAAGCTCGCGATAATAACCTCTTAGCTCGGATGAAGATTGAGAAGGGGACGAGAGGAATTGACTGTAGATGTCAAATAAAGATGCAACAAGTGTCTTGCTCTGTAGCAGTAGTCCATTTTTGGCATTCCTTTCGACATTTTTTTGGATGATTTTTTTGGAAAATTGTACAATCTTAAATTAACCAGAATTTCCCAATCAAAGTCGAATTCAAAAATTTGTATTTTTTAAAAACAGATCCGAGTCAAGTTTGACGTATAAATATTTCGGGTATAAGATTGAAGATTTTTCCAGGCACTCCGCAAGCGCAGCATCCTGGTACCACGAGTCTGGTAACCACATGATGCTTTTTGTCACCACACCCCATCGGTGCCCACAAAGAAGTGAAGTTTGCGTTCGGTCGGCGTATTTTTCCGGTCCCTGGAAATTTTCGGTCTTTTTCATGCTTTCCCCGACTCTGACTTTTTCCTCCTGGCTCAGCCGGGGCTCGACCTGGCTCAAACTCTGTTTTCTTTGCTCCTCTCTTCCTTTTCACAGTTTTCCGTCCGCTTCGATAAGCCCCGGATAGTCCGAGCCGGCCAAGCATATAGGTGGCCCACGGTCAGGTGACAAAGTGCAGAAGGGCACGTCGCAATTTTATACCTGAGTAGGGAAACTAACAATAAGTTAGCCGAGGTTGCCGTCACATCAGGTTTTCGGGCTCAGGAAGACACCGCGACGCCGCAGCTCTAGGAGCCGCCGGTTTACGCTCGATCGAGGAGATAATCGATTGATCATTCAATGAAATTAGTTGATCGGGCAAGGTTGTTGCGCCGCGCTAGTTCGTGACCCCCAGGTCACGTGAAGACACCAAGGGACAAAGGATTCCTGCTCCCTCGCACCTAGGACCCTGGCCTGGCTATATCTATATCTGCGCCTTCGACTAACCTAACCTGCAAGTGTTCTTCCACCACCCAGTCCACCCTGCACCCCACTCGATTCCTCATCTACTTTGTACCACGAAGCCTCCCTCATCGGTCGCCACTACTGGTCCCGCTATCCTCTTTGCTCTGTGAGGTTGCTCCTGGGTCAGATGTACAGGTACCACCTCAGATCGACTCACCTTACCTCCAATCTGGACCGCTAGCTCTGATTAATAGTCCCGTGGCCACTGATCGTGTCCCGACAGCATCCACGTCATCTGAACCAGATGACATGGTCCAGAAGTGATGCTGTGGTTCGACCTTTGAACTCTGCCGTATCTATCTCCGTGACTCAATTTACAGATTTTTAAAGTTTTCTTTTCACCGATTGCGAATGATTGTCTTTTAATGGGAAGCTGTGCCCCTCGAGGGGTCCAGAAGGAAGAGGAAGATGAAAAGAAGCACCTTAAGGAGTAGGAGCCTCGTGCAAGATCACAGGAGCAGCTCGCGTGCCAATAACCCTCCCTTGTAGATGTATCCCTGGGATAAGAGTTAAACTCCTAGTCCTTATCTCAAACAGACACTTCTCTCCTCTTTCACTTTGACCTTCTTTATCTTTGCCACGATATACTTTTGTTTCACCTCAGTTCTTCCTCCTCTTACTTATCCCTGCGTGATCTTCGTTTGCGACCAACGGAAACCCAAAACCTCATTGCGATACCCATTAATATCGCCGCATCACCTTTAAAGCTGATCTCCTGAGCTTTCGGGTTGAACCTTTCATCGTGCAATAATAACAATAACAGAGATCCAAGGATTACAGCAGACGAGCTCTATCGACGGTATAAAAAAAAAAAATTCTTTTTTGTTCCAATTGACAAATTTTACGAAATCGTGCATTTTTGTCTCCCAGGCAATTTTTCACTGAAAATACAGGAAACGGCAGTACGCGTCAAAGACTGTAAAGTATATACGGTATAAAAGGGTCTGCGGTTCTTTTGTTCCCAAAGACGATAATACCGATAATGACTGTAATGACGGTAATGACGGTTGAGGTAGGTCGCGGCAGTCTGCGTTTAGGGTTAATTAATAGGTGCATGCCTCGTAAACAGGGCTGTCAATGGAGCGTGGCTAAAACGTGGGAGCCAGACTGCAGCAAGATGCCACGTGAGGGCATCCACCAAGTATCCGCGAGAGAGCGAACCCTGAATTACTCAGATCCCGATCGACTGGCCAGCATCCTCTCGAGAGACACTTTGCTCCAGAAGAGCGTCCAGACAACTCGAGAATTTCTTTTGTAAAGGGTCAGACTCTCTGGTCGCCATTATCGGTCACGTCCAATCGCTTGGCACGCCAATAAAACGTCTCTCGACGTGCACTGCGTCCCTTTTGATTCTTTCGGCATTGGCTGGTAC